ATCAATTACATATATATATATATATATATATATATATATATATATATATATATATATATATATATATATATATATATATATATATATATATATATATATATATATATATATATATATATATATTAGGGTCTGCAGAAGACACTACGGTTATACAATGACTTGCCTAATTACATTATTTAAGCCTTTGAATCGCACTTTGAATCTGAATACTTGTATTTTGAAAAATATCTAGTCAAATATTATGTGCTCTCATAATAGCAAAGATAAAAGAAATTAGTTATTAAAAATGAGTTATTAAAACTATTATGTTTAGAAATGTATTGAAAAAAAATCTTCTTTCCATTAAACAGAAATTGGGGGGAAAAATGTTCCTAATATTCAGGAGAGCTAACAATTCTGACTTCAACTGTATACAGTTATTTTCCTCCCTGCAAAGGAAAGAGAAAAAAATACAATAGAATAAAAAATATGAAACAAACTGTGCTTTAAGCATCTTCACTGTACGAAAAACACTTAAGCTACAAAAGTCCTTCAGTCTAGACCAGCCAGGAGTTTTCTCTTTTTGTTATTTGATTAAAACCGATCGAAACAGGCGTCAGCAGGAATATTTCCCGCGGTCACTTTATTGGTCTCGCTTTCACGCTTCTTTTGATCCTCAACTCGTTTATTACACAAATGAGGGTTAATATAAATAATCACTAAACACCGTATTTTAACTCTCTCGTTAATGACTTTAGATGTGTGTGCACTCTGCTTGTCACAGTGTGCAAGATTGAATAAATTGTATTCCAAATTTGAAGGTTTTATCCCCAAAAAATTGCTTTAAGTAAGATTTTCTTTTGGCCGCAGTATCAAATATGACCACCTGTTTTCATTGGTGACAATACAAGACCGCCTTCTATGTTTAGAGAAATAAGAACTGTATTTTTTTCATACTTTTAACAATATTTGTAAAATTGACACAATTTTAAAGTGGTATAATTGCAAATTACAAGAGTGTTTTGATAGATTGTATACATCTGCATCTGAAAAGGTGTGAACCAAATGCCCTACAGGAAGTCAAGAATTGTGACCCAACCAAACCAGTTTGGTGATCTCTGGGACAGTCATATCCTTTGTTATAAATAGTCTCACAGACAATACTTTGGGTTAAGTTATTTGAAAACGACGTGTTAACATTGATGTTAAGGACCTGTACTATTCATTGTCTTCAATAAAATCTTTTTACCGTAAGAACTTTGCTCAGCTTACTTTTTGATGAATAAGAGTCATTTAACACATTGAAAAGCCACCCAAGAACGGTTAGGCCAAATACAGCAAAATCAAGCAGTTTGCATAGTGAGCTGTTTACGTTAATTTTGTGAGGTAAAAAGCCAACTTACACGCTAAACATACAAACAACCTTCCTCATGAGTATTTGAGTTTTTAACGGCTGTTAAAAACAAGGCTCAGAATCAATTAGAGAAATTGAGGAGAAATTAGTGATGCAACTTTTATTATGCTGGTTGAAAGTCTTTTTACAATCTTTTTACATATATTTTAATATTCTGTGAAAATGTCAGTCCAATCAAAACCATCAGTCTGAACATTACGATTGGATTACATCTTTGTATGCAGTTCAGACAGAGAATTGCAGCAAAACATCAACCTACCTTCTTTTTTTAAAGTTCATTCATTCATTCATTCATTCATTCTCTTTTGGGCTTAGTCGCGTTATTAATCAGGGGTCGCCACAGAGGAATGAACCGCTAACTTATCCAATGTGTTTAACGCAGCAGACGCCCTTCCAGCTGCAACCTAGTACTGGGAAACACACATACACTCTTGCATTCACACCCACACATACACTACAGCCAATTTAGCTTATTCAATTCACCTGCACCTCATGTCTTTGGACTGCTGGGGAAACCCACTCGAACAAGGGAAGAACATGCAAACTCCACACAGAAATGCCAACTGATCCAGCTAGGGCTTGAACCAGTGACCTTCTTGCTGTGAGGTGACAGAGCTACCACTGTGTTGCCTTTTTAAAGTTTGTTATTGTAATTAATTAACTATAAAGCTAAAAAATATAAGTACTATAAAGCTTTATCTCTGGTGAATGCTGAGTTATGTATTGTAGTGTTATTGTCTAATGCACAATCATGTGTTCAAGTGGCTTTGGATGTCTTTAGATATAAATGTAAGCTTTCAGTGTTATCAGGCTAATGTTAAAGAGTCACGAAACACCAGAACACATTTTTTGAGCTGTTGACAGTCGTATATATGTCCCACACTGCTAAAAACACTATTAGGACACATATATCTCTCTAAAAAGTGAAACTTGGTAGTTTTTGCGTTATTTCGAGCAAATTTGCACTTCCGGTTTGAAACAAATTTTTGAATCTGCGTCACGGCCATGAGATCTTAGCGTGTGTTCCAGCTTGTTGACTGGACGTCTGTACTGGATGTACCATATTACGTCTCCGAGTGTGCTGCATTAATGCATTAGTAAGGCTTGGTTCAAACCAATCCGCGAGTTCTATTGTGCAACTTCATTAATGTTCATTAATGTTACAGTGTAGACGGCAGAGACACCACATTGTGTTGGCAAAACAAGCGTGAAGTGTTGCTTTCATAATTTGCTGAAGTCAAGTTTTGTTTTCATTTTCTCTCTGTGAGAGCGCAGCTGGACTCTCGTGTGGATTACAGTGTACGAGACACAACGTGCGACAACAATAACTTACGTGTCTAGGAACATTGTTTACCTGAGAGCTTTTCTCTTCTGCAAATGGAGATCCGGATTTGCTGCTCGTCTCCTCTTAATAAAGACGCAGTTCTAGTTGCTGTGGATTGTCCTTTCTACAGATTTGGTAAGTGAGCGACCAGTGCTCTTTGTTTATTCAGTTTGTTCGTATCGAACTAACTACTGCACCGAGTGTAAACATGTTAGCACCACAACCAAACAATTACAGTCTTTAAGGATTTTCACCGCATTTTGTAACCGGAATAACACACGCGGCTTACCTGCCGAGTGCATCTAAGTTACAGAGAAATGCAGAGTTTAATTTTTTCTCTCATTTGCCGTGCGGTATCAAACATTGCATGAAAAATACACGCTTAGAGCAGTTCCTCTAATCAAATATCTCATTTGTCACGAGGGGCACGAATGAATTCCCTGAATGAAAGGGCCAAACTGCAGTTAAAGTCTGTAACGTTCGCTTGCAGAACGTATTTTGGATAAGTGTGTGCGTTTGTTTGTATGTGGGTGTGGGTGTGTCGTTTCATGCATGTGTTACAGGTAAGAACGTCATTGGAGGATCCGCATTTTGTGCTGATGACGTTGGCTGCTGACGCTGGGTTTGCACCACCAATCGCTGGTTGGCGTAGCGTTTAAAAGCCGAGCCCAAACTGCAATGGCGACCTCTCTCTCTCTCTTTCCTTCTCGCTCTTATTCTTTCTTTGGGTCTCTATGAGGACAGTCTCTCTTGCGAGGGCTAGTCTGAGAGAATGTGTTTTGCATGTTTAATGCTTTTGTCTAAAGTTTGAGATTTGATAATGCAATGTGTTTGCTTTATCAAACTGACATGTTTGAGTGATACCTCGGAGAGGTGTAGGAGTGAGTAAGTCGCGCAATATACATATACAACACTCAGATGCATATTTTGTATTAGTTCATTAGGTTCAGGAGGATGTGCTGTTTTCTGTATGTTTTGTTTTTAGTTAGAGCAGTTTAGTTAAGATGTTTAGTACGTTGAAGATGTTTCTTTTCATGCTTTTCTTTTCATATTTAGTTTAGTTTGGTGAAAACAGTTACTGAGTTTTGTTATATTTATTTCTTTAAGCACATTCAACTACTTCCTCTCCCCCCAGGTAATTCATCATTTAATCATTGTAAATATTTTTCTTTCAATGTATAATATATTTTACTGGTTTCATTGGATGTATGGGCATTAAATAATTGCAGTGATATTTGGTTTTCAGTTTATTTATTTCTCCATCCACTTGTCACACACATTAAACTATTGTATGTTATGTCATCTACTCCTATTTTAATATTAACATCTAAAAGGACGTAACAAAGTCCAACATTTAATAATTTGGTAAATAATTTGATTACAGATGTCCATGTAAACACAGTCACTTTCTCCCCTGTGTGTGTGTGTGTGTGTGTGTGTGTGTGTGTTTTTACTCTGAACCTCAGAGCGTGGTCTCACACCTCTTTTGCTCCTCCGACACTCCCCCCTAAACAGAGCTGGACACGCCCACTTTTCTGGCTTTTTCCAAAGTAGAGTTGGGAAAACACCCTGCTGAAACGAGGGGGCTTCATGGCCCTTTAACATTTTTCAAGATCTCCAAATGCACCATTGACGGTTTAAATGTATTTTTTATATTTATGTTGTTTTCCTAGGATAACTAGCAAACATTTAAAGCATTTGTTATTAAACATGTTTTTCTCTCAACATAATGTATTACTAAATGTATATTAATCCTCTTAAAATTTGTGTTTTAATAACTATATATACAATTTTTGTACTGTTCTGTTATATTTTCTATTTCTCTTGTTCTGTTCTTAACACAGGTAACATTAAAAAAATATGCTTTTACGTTTTTTTCTCAATGCAATTTAACACTAGGAATCAATAAGGAATGTTATTTTTTTGTTTTGTTTAATAACTGTATAGCTACAAAATTTGTGGAAAGTTTTTTTTATTAACACACATATTCTGTTATAGTGTGGAAGGAAATGTTTTCCAGGGTTTCTACAGGTTTCATCAAGTCAAGTTTAAGACTTTTTAAGACCTTTTTAAAACCATAGTCAATGCAATTTTAGACATTATGGTTCAGACATTATGGCAAAATGGCAAATATTTTTAATCGCCAATTTAAAACCTTAAACAACTTTAAAAACAAATGTTATTGCAATAAAGATAATTAAACCATTTTAATGAGCAAATATAGTTAATAAATAAACATTTCTTAAAGCTTTTATTGAAATATGTTGTTAGTGATTGGCTGGGTGTTGGCCCAATTGGGTATAGCTTTACATATACCCTTACATGGATATAGAAAAATTCAGACCTGTTTAAAATGATTTAAAACACAATATCTTAGCGGTTTTAGGACATTTAAAAAATTTAAGACATTTTAAGAACCTGCAGACATCCTGTTTTCAGAAATATAATGAAAAAATAATGTGCACAGTTTTTATTTTAAAATGCTGTGTTAAAACTGTGTTTCATTAGAAAAAAAACCCATGCAAGCATGTGCTTTTTCTACCATGTTGATCCAACTAAATATTTACCTCTACAAACTGTCTCAAAGTCTATTTAATATTAAAGAAAAAGTTATATATTATAAATAAACTTATCTTCTGGCCCAGACTGAATGCTGTATTTTCTGTGATTTTCTTGCAACATCCATAACAGTCTATTGAGGGTTGGTTTAGCTTTCTTTTTGCCTTCCATAAATATAATCCTTAAATTATGCAATTATGCATTTAACAGCAAACATATTGAACAACTACATCTCCATGTGGTGTTTCTTAGAGCTCACTGTGCTTAAAGCCGATTAATGTCTCGTACCTGTTTGTATATCCAGCACCTGTGGGTTGTACACAGCCAGCGGGCGAGTCTGTCGGCTTAGCCTCTTGGACTGTCTGGTTGGTGCAGAGAGGGGAGTAGTTGCTAAGGATGGAGAGCTGCTCGGAGCATCCCCGAATATCTGAAAGAACAGAAAGTTGGGATTTGTTGGCTAGATTGAATGCTTTGTGCTCAAAGTAAACACTTCGTTTAGAGCCTGCAGAGAAATAACAATGCCTATGCATTACATTGGGGTGGTAAATGGCAACAATAACAATACTGTACATACACTAATGTATTACAAAAGCTGCATGATTTGCTAAGTCAGTCAGAAAACCAAAGTAAAATCCTTTCACTTTTTAACCCAAATTATTTTTACAGAGGAAATGAACTGTTTTGATAAAAATTTTAGGCTTACACTTTATTAACTATTGGTAATACAGTTTGCACTACAAACCAGTGAGTTTTAGGCACCAGATTACAACAATACAGTGTGTAAGAAATACCAACTTGCAATTTCAAGGTGTTTTGTACTGATACAACTAACTGGAAACCAGAAAAGACAGAAAACAAAAATAAGGGGCATAATGTTCTTTCCATTTAAACTTCATTTAGACCAGGCGTGTCCAAACTACGGCCTGCGGGCCATCTGCGGCCCGCAATCAGTTTTGTCGCGGCCCGCGAGGCTTTTTATAAATATCAATAGAATCTGGCCCGCTATACAAAAATGAACGTAATTCAATAAATAACCACCGGGTGTCGCTATTACATGCATTCAATTAAGCAGCAGTTCTTGATATGATCTATCTATCTATCTATCTATCTATCTATCTATCTATCTATCTATCTATCTATCTATCTATCTATCTATCTATCTATCTATCTATCTATCTATCTATCTATCTATTTATCTATCTATCTATCTATCTATCTATCTATCTATCTAATATTTTTTCTTCTGGAGAAAGACTTATTTGTTGTATTTCGGCTAGAATAAAAGCGGTTTTAATTTTTTTATGAATCATTTAAGGTCAAAATTATTAGCCCCTTAAGTCTTCAGAACAAACCATTGTAATAAAATAACTTGCCTAATTACCTTAACTTGTAACTTGATTTGTACTTGAGCTGTATAGAAGTGTCTTAAAAATATCTAGTCAAATATTATTTACTGTCATCATGGCAAAGATAAAATAAATCAGTTATTAGAAATGAGTTACTAAAACTAATATGTTTAGAAAAAAATCTTCTCTCCGTTAAACAAAAATTGGGGAAAAAATAAACGGGGGCTAACAATTCTGACTTCAACTGTATATATATATATATATATATATATATATATATATATATATATATATATATATATATATGCGTGTCTGTGTGATGTGTGTAAAATTTGGCCCGCGACAACGTTGTTTTTTTTGCATCTGGCCCTCGGCCCAAAAAGTTTGGACACCCCTGATTTAGACTATTTAAATACGCATATGGTCCGGAGCAGCAGTCGCATAAACCTCACCGTGGCTGACCCACACCTCTCGAAAAATGTAACTACACGTCCCAACGACACGTATCGCAAGCTCAGTGATTGGTCAGGTTGGGTAGTGCAGATAGCCGCGAGCCCAATGGAGTGAGTGTTTACAAGCGCTGACTCCGCCAAGTCCCGTTAAGGAGCTTCAGATAAAACTTTTGCTTTGTGTTTACCTTATGATTAAAGTTGCTAGATGTCTGCCAGTTCCTGCCTCTGAATAGGCGAGAATTAGCTACTTGTACATTAAGGTAGCGTTCAGAAAAAACAAAACACCCGCAAAGAAACTTGATACAGATGAACATAAAAGCCTACTGCCATCTAGCATTTAGGAAGTGTTATTACAGAGCAACACAAACAGTATGCAGAATTACAACGGCTACAATGACGGCAGGCGCCAAGCCGATCACTCAACGCAGAAGTATGAATCATGCTGTCAAGCAAGACAATCAAAACTCATATCATTTTCACTTTGCGCCAACCTCCAATGATGTACTGAACAGTACCCTGCTAAAATAGCTTTTCTTACTTGGAGTTTTTGTCTTGTTTCTAGTTCAAATATCTACAGATTCTTAACTCGAGATGCATTTTCTAGACAAGCAAAAAATATTGTCTTGTTTTCAAAATAACGAGTCAAAAGAAAGAGAGTTTTTTTATTAAAACAAACAAATTAATCTGGGTTTTCGTTTTGATGTAATATTATTTTGCTTACCCCATAGGCAGATTATTTTCTTTGTGTTATGGAAAAACTCAATTTTGGCACATTATTTCTTAAAACAAGACAATATGTTTTGTTTATTTCTAGAAAAGGCTTCTGGATTTAAGGATTTGTAGATATTTCTGGACTAGAAACAAGACAAAAATTCTAAGAAAGAAAACCTTTTTTTTACATTGTATTTTTTATATTAAACATTTAAAATTAAATAATTAAAACTATTCCATTTATCTAAATCAAAACTAAATAGTTCCAATAGAATAACAATAAAATGCAATGCTTTAATGATGTTCAGGATGTTTCAGAAACATCTCAGTACAACCAGTCATAAGAAAGTTCTTTAGCAACAAACCCTTTGATTTCTCCATTAAACTATTTAACATTCGGCTACACTCATATTATTTTTGTGATTAAGTCCACCTCTCTGTTCACATTTTGTTGATGATGCAGTTACTGACACATTTAAAACCTTACCATCTGGGAAATGCTAATTAAATAGCACTATCATTTACAAAAGTTTGAAAAAGGACTTAATTGCAATAACATGCTGACATGTCAAGCAAACCTATTTGCTCCTGTTTACATGTAAATTTCATTATTTTGAGTATTTGCTAAGAAGTGTGGTTATTTTTATAACTGTTTATCGTGATTAAAACTGTCAAACATCAGATCACACGGTTTAAAGCATTTATGGTTATATAAAACAATTATAAGCTTAATTGTATTGGGTTGATTGTGGCCCCTGTGTTTATGTCAAAAATAAATGTCAATACTGTCAAAATCCACCTGTAATTGAATTATTAGGTAAATGTAAATATAAAAACACCCTCTAGACCTCTAAAGTAACATTATTTGTTTTATAGCTCAATATTTTCAGTGACTAAATTATGGTGCTTTAAATTTAATAAATAAATAAACAAATAAATAAACAAATAAAATTAATGTTACTATAGAACAAATATAATAAAATATGAATAAATAAGCTTGTCAAATTAATAACCAAACAAGTTCAAGTTCAATTAATACCATCAATAAAATAGTTAATCAATAATGAACAATTAATGACATATTTAAAAATAATAATAAAATACACAAAAAAGTATATCTGTGATAAAAGCAAGCAAACAATAAAAGTTGATTTATTGTTTACTGTTTGATCGCTTGTTTTGATTGACAAACTACTTCCATTTGCTGGTATGGAGAGTTATTTCCTCTCATGCAGGCCCAGAATGCAAGTGCAAGTCATTTTTGGTGTTCAAGTGAAACTTTCTTTCGTCTATACACAAGCGACAACATGGCAAGATTGTTTAACGTGAAATTCATGTATCCTTGATCCGAATTTGCTTGGAAGAGAGAAGTGGATATTCTTTAATACGTTCATTATAGTCTACCAATAAATGGGACAGTCAAACCAAGAGGTGGTCCAAGGCCCTTTTTTAAAGATGCCTCGTTGTTTGTTGACAAACAAATGACTAATGTACAAAAACTAAATTTGATCATCAAGCATCATCAGCCTGTTCTTAACATGAATTTAAATCATTGTTATAAAAATTACTGATTTGAATAAATGATTCCCATTTTATTTGTCTTTTAACATAGAAAACAACATTAAACACAGAAACTGTTCAGGGTATATACAGAACTTCTTAATCTAAATGTAATACCTTTTACTACCTTTTTTTAATACCTTCAAAACAATTTTAATCACAGCATAACTGAGAGCTGCAACTGTAGTGGCGTAAATGAAATATCTTTCCAAATGGAGTAACATATTGCAGATAACATAGACATTTAAGTAAAGTAGAGGGATTATTCAAGATGTCACAATGAGCCTTTGTCCATAGTTTTTAATCAATGTCATCAATGTCTATAGCCGCTCTTCTGAGAACAGTTCGGCTACGGTTACTGTTGTTTCTCCACTGAGCCTGGAACGGCACGGCACAATTACAAAACGTTCTCGGCACGGTTAGACAATTGTGCTGAACTGTGACAATAGATTCTGTTGACGTCGAGGCTCTGTTGCCAAGCTACCACCAGTGTAGCCAGATGTAGCTGACTTTTTACAGCCCAAAAACTGTCAAAAACCCACCCAAAGGCACACAAATTCCCAAAATATTAGATTAATATTTTATTTATTTTTAGATGATTGAAATCGAAATCATCATAATTGTTAACCATAGCAACCAACACCCGCAATAACAGAACCACAACATAACCGGATCAAATTGAAACACTACCCTCTCACCCACACAGTGCACTACTTATTAGAGTTTGTTTTACTTTGAAAATGGGGTATAAATTCCTCATATTTGTCGTTTTAAATTCTTTTGAACATAATTAGGTGCTGCTTGTCAATCAAACAATGCTTCTATGTTTACTCTTGCTGTCAATTGTGAGGAAAAATTATAGATAAAAGTGTCATAATAAACTGCTGGGAGTTTAACTACAGGCACTGTGTGCAAGCGAGGTTATATTAATCGTCTTCTTGCAGATGTGGGAAAAAGCCTTGCTGCTGTTGCCAACAACAGGTCTAAGCCAGTCTTTAAATCTTGAGTCCAGCCAGAGGTCCAAAAACTTGTATTTCCCCATGCTTTAATGTAATTAATGAATGAGAGCGAGCTCGCCTATATGGTTAGCAGCAAGCCAGCCGGGTTCCCAGTTTGTTTTGGCGCATGCGCGACTGTACACAACCTCACACAATATCGCTCAGGTCCTACTTCCAACATACAAGTCAATCAATTTCCTTTACTACCTTTTACAACCCCGCAGACACCCTGCTTCTAGACTGAATGCAATGATAATATGATGAAAAACAAATATTAATTGAAGACATAAGAGATTTGAACACATTTGTGTGCATATTTGTCCATTTAAGCACATACTGTAAAAAAGCTAGTTTCCACAC